TATAAAGAGCTCATTGGCAGCAACGTATGCTAACCCTTACTAATCAATTCAACGCCATACTTTCATAAAGCTACTAAACAAAGGTAAAGACTCTTTAGGACTACCAGGGGAAAAGGTTAAATGACTCATAAGGAAAGATAACTATACTGATATGAGACTTCTCAAGAACGGCCAAAGCAAAGCAACAATAGAGCAGCACTTTCAAGAAGCTCAAGAAAAGAAAGTATTAACCAAAGGGTTTTCCCTCCAGCCTAGCTGTCTTTCAACTTTAAGAAATTGTTAAAATAAGAAAACAATTTTAAACACGTAAGAGCAAAAAAATTTTGCATCTATGAGCCCTCGTTGAAGAACCTACTAGAAAATGAACTCCTCTCAATCAAGAGATGACAAGGGAAACTTCAGCAAAAGGAGTTATGGGCAGCCTTTAATAATTTTAGACGTTTAGAACAAAGATGGGTAAGTATACAGAATAAAAAAAAATAGAATACACACAGACCCATATTTTTGTATGTGTATACACAGACATGTATTTATTTGTAAAGCTGGAATTCAGTGTTTTTAAAACAGCTCCTGTCCACCAAAATACATATAGGCAGAGAAAAAAAAATCACAATTGATTTGTTACGAGTGAGACCAACATGTTACTTAGATCATTACACTCCATTCCATACTGATTTGTGCGGTTTTGACCACCTTGCTGTCAGCAACTGGCAGGATGCTCATTATTATCTCTATATACTTAATATTTCATCCTTCACCTACACTGTGGCATGTTTTTGTCAAAGAGTTTCATTTTAAAAAATTAGAACAATTGATGATTTAAATGTTTCCAATATTCAGATATCTAAATAATGATATTCTACTGTAAATCTAATATAGTTTTTAGTTTGTGGTCTTGGATTTTCTAAGTGGGCAATCCTAACCTCTATGAATAATAATCGACTTATTCCTAATTTTAGTGCCTTTTTTAATCATACTGGTTAAGCCTTTCAAAACAATACTGAATACCAGAGGCAAGTGGAGACACACTTATCTTACTTTTGAACTTAAGGTAAAGGAATCCAATGAAATGTTGTTTTTTTTTTTAATTTAATGTGTGTCTGTTTCTCAAACTAAGACAGTTTCTTTTTAGTTCTAGTTTAAGAGTTTCATCAAAAAATAAATGCTGGGGCGTCTGGGCGGCTCATTCAGTTAAGCGTCCACTCTCGGTTTCAGTTTGGGTCATGATCTCACAGTGTGTGAGATCAAGCCCTGCGTCAGGCTCTGCGCTGACAGCAAGTAGCCTACTTGGATTCTCTCTCTCCCTTTCTCTCTGCCCTTCCCCCACTCTTGCATGCACACATTCCCTTTCTTTCTCAAAACTGACATTTTAAAAAATGCTGAAGTTTGTTACATTACCTTTTTGTTTCATCTATGAAAATGTTTTTTCCCTGACTCAAATAGCACATTAATAAATTCCTAATATTAAGCCATCCTTATATTCCTGGGGTGAAAAGGTCCTTTGAAACATTTTCATATAATGCTTTATTTGGTTTGCTATCCTTTTACTTAATTTGACTAGACTACAGGTATTTATGCAATTCATGTCTACATCTAATAACTGTGTGAGCCTTTAAAGTGAATCTGCAAGCTTTTGTTCTTTTTTTTCTGCTCTGTAACAGTTTAAAAAGCTCAAGCTTTTCCAAGGTATGATAGACCTCACTGACAGACCCTCTGGGCTTTGTTCCTCTCTGATTACCTCTGACTTCTCTAGCTCTGAGTGACAATTTTGGGAATGGTATTTTTCCTTAAACTACCTACGTGAGAGTCAGTGGGGTGCGGCAGTGCTCTGGAGTGACTACTGCCGGGGGCTATGTACATCCTGCCTCCCACACTTCCTGTGTCCTTGGGAGATCAGTCTTGGTGTTTTACTTCCTTCATCTATAAAATGAGGAACACGAGAGTATCTACTTAAGACTGTTGTGAAGAGTAGGAGTACATACATACAAGGCACTAAGAACTGTGCCTGACCTGTTCTAAGTTTCAATAAACACTGGTTATTGTTATTAACTAGGATATTCTTCGAAGTAGAACAAGGCTACCCAAAACAATCTTATACTTTAATAATACCCTCTGAATACTAATATCGAAACATTTTAACACGGTCCTTTTATGTTTTCTTTTTTCCTTGACCAAACTTGCCAGAAGTTGATCAATTTCATGGCTTTTTTGAAGAACCAGTTGGTTTTATCTTACCTCTTCTCTTTCTTCATTCAATTAGCTCTTTTTCTACATTCTTGAACTGAATGTTTGTTTCATTTACTTCCAGTCTTTCTTAATGTCTACTAAATACATGTTTGCCTCTGTATAACCTGTCCATGTTTCGTTGGGTTTGCTATGAACCATTCTCATTGTTCTACATTTCTAAATAATCTGTAATCTCAATTTTTATTTCCTCCTTAATCCAACAGTTTTATGCTTCCATAGATTTTAAGTCAGAAAATCTATATAATCTGTACTTCTTGGGATTTGTTAGATTTTCCTCTATGACCTATATAATTCTATTAATATTCCATTAGCATCCATACAGAAAAGTGTACTCTTTGCACTTGTATGTATAGCTATAAAATCATGCTGTGTTATTCAAATTCTTCAGAGCCTTAGTTAACAGCTTTTGCTATGAACATTTCAATGCTAAATGCTTGGTACAAAAAGGTTCATGGTCGTCAAAACCACTTAATGGATATTAGATTCTATCAATATAAATTAACATTCTTGTCTCATCGAACCATTCCCCGATCTCCTTGAATTCCATTTCATCTGGTGTTAGGTACTATTCCTTGAGCCTGTCATCAACCTGGAATATATCTTTGTTTTTTTCCAGTATTTTTATCACTTGCCTTTTAACAGCAGAGCTGGATTTTTATGTTAACTCAATCTGAAAGCTTTCACCTTTTAAATAAAGGAAGAGGTGGCACTTTCCAAGCACCATAGTCTATTCAAATCTAAATTTCACTGGTATTTTTAAACATAAAAAATCAGTTTGCCTATGTTTACAAAGTACAGCAACACGGGTAGGTAGGTGGCAAAAGAAAATTTGCTAATTCTAAAGGCGTCCTGTTTAAATATAGTTAACTGCAGTGTAATAAAATCCTTCCACTACTGACACAGTTCCAAAATAGCAAGCATTTTGCAGGGATGTGCAGAAGTTTCAGTGTTACATTCCAGCTGATGTAATAACAAACTTCTAATACTGAGAAGCTGGTAGGATTTGAGAGAAACAGCCTCAGAGGGGCAGATGCATAACAGATGCAATGAGTAGATACACAGAACAAAGAGAAGAAGACACGTAAGTGAGGAGCCTGTGAGGCTGAAAAACAGACAAGCCACTAAAAATAAGAAAAAAAAAATCAGATACCACATTTACAGAAAAGCCACTAGGTTTCGGTGTCTATGCCTTGTGTATGCAGTTTTATTTCTATACAAGTAAGCTGCATCTCGAAAACTGATATGTACTTTTGTAACACAGCCTTCATTTATTATCTCCCCAAGAGCTATTAACTGAAATGTTATAGTTTATAATCGGCCAGTCAAAGAAATGAGAAGATACAAAAAGACAGAATGTATTTATAAAAAGACTCGTAATATTTCTAATGGGATTCAAGTTATCACTGCAAAGAGAGAAGGGAAGCAGCAGAATGAGAGAATGGCTGGCTCTGAGCACAGGCTCAGACCTAGCAGAAGTGTCAAGGCAACAAATACATTCCTTATAGAAGTATCTGCTCTCCTACCAATCTCTGTGTAATCAGCTCTAATTAGATACTGAGTAATGAATGCTGCCTGCACACTGAGCATCTGTGGCTACCAGGCTCTTCTCTACCAGGCACATTTTTGCTGCTGAGTTACATGCTTACTAGGAGTCCGTTGTGTTCGCTCCCAAACCCATTTATGACAGTTTTACTTCCTTCTGTAATTATGTGAGTTAAGTATTACGTAAATGGATGGAATATGAGTGGAAACAGAAAAACCAGTTTTTGCATCTATGAAAATGAAGTTGAATGCTTTAGAAAAACTGAAAGGCAAGATACTAAAAACAAAGTTTGTTCATCTTCAGTGTCATTAGAGAAAAAGTCTGTAGAAGTGTAGAAATATTTTGCGCTTGGATTTCTTGGAAAGTCTAAGTTCTTTGCTCCACTGTAAGGAAACCAAAACTAAAATACTCTGACGATACGTCAATGACAGTTGGGTTATGCCAGAGAAATGGGGAAAAACAGATACCTCCTTAAAGAAAAATACCCTCTAGGGTTATAGCAAAAAAGTGATGGATAAATGTAAATTTATACCGAGTGTTTTTAAGAAGTGATTTCTAGCTTTAGTACCTTTTAAACAAACTGACGACTTCCACTAGTCCACACTGGGGAACAGGCTTTTAATGTAAATTAGACAACAGTAAACACATGATGTGCTGGCAACCTCAAAGCCTGTTGTATGTCTTCTTCTAGATTTAATTTTACACATTTAAAAAATAAAGCGAAAGCCTTAAAAGAAGCCAGAAAAAAGAGAGGGCCAGGCAAGAATGATGGCTAACTGCTCATCAGAAACAATGCAAGACAAAAGACAATGGAATTATATCGCTAATGTAAGAAAAGAGCAAAAAAAGGGGGGGAGAAGCTATATTCAGTGAAAATATGCTTCCAAATTGAACAAAAATTTTAAGTTTTCAAGTAAAAAATGCTGAATTAGTCTCCAGCAGATCTGCACTAAACTCTTCATCAAAAAAGCTATTAGATTAGTGTGACATGAGCACAGGCATGAACTCTAACATGACCAAACTGTAATACAACTGAAGAAACTAGTTTGTAAACTGCAGTCATTTATTAGTTATAAAACATCACCGACTCACTTCACAATGGCCACGACACAGTAGTGCCTTGCCGCCATGTGTGAGCCACTGCAGACACGCAACGGAACACTGCAGTAAAGGAAGAACTGTTAGTCCATTCATTCTTGAGCTAACTTACCTCTTTGTTTTGGAAAAATCTGTTCAGGATGCTGTAAAATAAATTAAAGTGCATTAGATAATTACTGTAACACAGAAACCTAAGTGCAATTTTTAAAAAATATTAAGATAACTACCTTCATTATGGGCCTGGCTTGCTTCTCAAACAAACCACTTGGAAAAAGGTAAGCAATAGCTCTCTGAAAATAGACACAAAGGTTAATTAACAATTATTATACACACACGTTAATGTTATGACTAATAGTTACTGACTGCTTACTACATGCCAGATAGCAAACTAAGAGCTTCATATACATGATCTCATCTCATAATCTTTTAAATGGGATAACAAAAGTACCTGCACATTTCCCCCAAAAGAAAAATAATTTGTAACTATTAAACTGGTTATTAACAATTTTCAAGCGTCGGTTTCAAACACGGAGGTGATGCCGCAAACCTCTCTTTCTTAAAAGTAAATGAGAGGCACTCCTCTATAATCTCTGTGTTCAAGAGCACCCCTGCAAACCACCCGCCCCCACCCCCGCCACGTTGGCAGTGCACATAAAGACCGAATACTAAAAAGAGCAGGCTCGATGTCTCACCCACCGTGACAGCTGGGACATCTTTAGATGTTCTCTGAACTCTTCCTAAAAGTTGTGATAGGTTTTTAAGCTACATTTTTTCCAGCCAAGTTCTCCTAAATGTCTGTTTCTCAATGGGGATGCTACTGGTGTTTTGAGTGTGACAGCTCCGTCGCAGGCATCCTTCCCAGTCCCCTGTACTGAAGGTAGAAGACACCCCAGCCCCAGCCCCTCTCCACAACCTATGCCAGTAATATCCCCAGCGCCTGTGACAAATCTCCCCCCCCACCCGCCCAGTCCCCTCCACGTTTCCAAACGACCCTCGCCTAGTATGCCGCCACCTTGAGAACAACCGCATAAGCTGCTCATTTCAGCATCTTCTCCAACACCACTCCTCACAGTGAAAAGCAAACCATGCACACTGTCATTTCTGTTAAAGGATGTTGGATGAGAAGTCTGTGGCCTTGGATCTTATCAGCACTGTATCTGAACTCTAAATGAACTGGCAGCACATATGAACACAGCACTGCTCTTTTAGAGAGGCTGTTCTCAGGATGGGCCTCCCTGCCCACCCACACAGTAAATGTGCTAGACCAGATTCCACCCCTGAAAGGAGGGACCTGTAATTTGGGGCTTATAAATTCAATTATATTAGGGAGCCCATCTGTGACTCTGGGTCAAGCTTAATTCTCCCATTCAGCCTTTTGGCAATAAAACTGACACTGAAGGCATCCTTAGATCAAACATCAGAGTGCTAATTTTGTGAACTTTTTTCTTTTTAAAACCAGGGACTCTTCTGCTTTCCTTTCTGAAGGAGAAAAGGTGGACCTTTTAGTAAGTGATGTTGAGAAAACGGACTGTTATCTGGAAAAAGATAAAAGTGGATGCAAACCCGACAGCATATACAAGAATAAACTTCAGATGAGTCAGACAGCTAAACACAGAGAATCAAATCAAACAAGTACTAGAAGAAAAACATGGTGAATTCCTTTATATGCTACACTCCCACGGGCAAAACCAACATACTCGCAGCTTATTCACTGATTTGTAACAACAAAATATGAGAAACACCCAAGACCACCCCCAAGGTTGGTGGCACAAATGATGGCACACTCTTGCCATCGAGCACTCGAACCATTAAAAAAAGACAGGTGAAAGCAAGATGCAGAAGAAATGTACTTAGAGTGTGACCTTTGGTGTAAGAAAAAGAAGTAAGAAAATACATATAGGAGTGGGGGGAAATAGTCACAGGTTTCTTTCCACACAGAAAAGTAGAGTGGAATCTAATAAAAACCACCGTCTATGAAGGGTGGGCAGCAGCAGGGTGAGGGGCATGGAGAGGAGTGGGGCTCCCTGGGTATGCCTTTATCCAGCTCAACTCTGAAGTGTGAATATGTTGTATACATTAAAGACTAAAATTTTCAAAAAAAAGCCTCTAAAACTTAATACAGACATAAACAAATAAACCTAACTTCTAATGACAAAAAAACAATTGCAAAGAAATCCCCAAATTTATTTGGAAAGCTTAATGTCAGTGATATTAATATTAAAATCCTGAAATATTTTGTGTATATTATAGCATAAATACATATATTAATTTTATGGTGACAAAAATTTTACGTAGAGGAGATACAAATATAAAAAAAATCTAGTTTGAATTAGACAAATCAATACACACTCAGGATCTTTAAAAAATATTATTTCCTATATTATTCCAATAATATTTAAAAGATACCAATTTTTAGTTGTGCCCCCTGAAAGAGCATAGAAACAATGAAACTCTAGGAACAATGGGTGGCCCCTAGCCTCCAAATCTTGGTTTCTAAATACAGTTTCCCGCTTTAAGGAACAGAGTATGGTAGAGAAATGCTTAGGCCTAAGGCAGGAAAAGTTTAAAATAAGCCCGAGACACTTTCCTGTGCCAGAAAACAAGGAAATGCTCAAAAAGAGAAGCCAGCTTCAAGGAGCTCCCACTGGCCACACCTGGGACAATGTGAACATCAAAAAGAACAATGACAATGCCTAAAAACACACTTAATATGTACTTGTTGAAGAGTCTGCATGAATACGTGCGTGCGCGCGCGCGCGCGCACACACACACGTTCGTTTGCTCGCTGGCTTTCTTTCTCTTTCTCCAGGGTTCTGAAGTAGGGGCGAGGAGAAAAGGAAAGCCTCTTTATGAAACAATATCAGTTAATAGAAGTAGAAGGAATGGCAGATGTAGAAAATCAATGTTTTATAACTTTCAAGGTAATCACCAATTTCAGGCAAGGATCACCAGTGGATGCTAAAATCACTGGCTAAAAGGTTACTGGGGAATGGAATATTCAAACGGATCCAAGGTAGCACCTTGCAGATTACTTGCCAGTTACAAGGGGGGAAGAAGTTCCTTCTACAATAAAGCCATCTAGTGGTTACTACTTTACTGTACCAAGGGGTAAGATGAACAATCAATGGTGTGACAAACTCGCGACGTGCCTCCTGGTGTGAGGGGAAAAGCAGTACACAGTATCACGGGAGCACTATCCTTTATACACCCTAAAGCGAATCACAAAGAAGCACGTAGAAAGCCAGAAGGTGGGACAATTGTAGAAGACAAATGGTCTGGGTTCTACAAAAACTAGCTGGCTATAAAGGCATTTGGGGAAAATTGAGAAAATTTCAGTATAGACTATATGATACATGACATTATAGAATTATTATAACTGAACTAGATATAAGAGTGGTATTGTGGAAAAAATGGTATAAAGGTTGTATATTTAGGGGTACATGCTGATCCATTTAGGGATTAAGCGTTACGACAGCTGCATTTTCAACGGCTCACTCAAAAAAGTCTTTATGTATACAGAGAAAGGAAATGTGGCAAAACGTGAATTGGCAAATCAATGTGAAAGGTATACATATATATGTATGTGTATGTTTCTATTCATTGAATATTCAGATTTCCTGGAAATGTGAAAATCTCCAAAATAAAAAACTGAGGGAAATGTTAAAAATTAACAAATCAGTCAGGTCTTTCTAAGCCTAACGTGTCTCAGCAGGGCCACCATGAGCCTATAGCATGTGTGGGCCAGCTGGACTTCGGGCCTGTCCCCACCGTCGGACACAGCAGCCCCAAGGTCGGTCAGCCATCTTAGCCAGGGGCCTGCGGACTCCAGGCCTGGGTGAGAATACTGGTGCAGAGGGCTAAAGGGCAGCTCCTCTGCTGGGGTGGGAGCACCATAATTACAGGGGGGAGAATAAAACCCACTTACACATCAGGTTCAAGCTGTTACTGGCATCATTTTCAAGTATAAAAATTACCATTAACTTAGGTGACCGCCAAAGACAGTCCAAGAAGAGAACAAAAATGTAAAGAATTCTATCCCACAGCTCAGGAAAATAAGACTCCAATAAGTCACGAGGAAGTTAACTGGCAGAACTTGAAAATAAAGCACTGACTGCAAAGGGTGTCCAGGTCTTACAGGCAATCTCAGTTTTAAAGAACAAAAACAAGCTGATGAAGAAGTTGCTAGAAATACTCAGATTTCCTGAAAGGATCAGGAAAAGGGGCACTGCCTTAAAAAAAAAAAAAAAAATCTCAGCTAAAAGCAAATTAACACATATTTACTAAATCATAAGTCCTCACTGTACTGGGTGATAATATAATGTGAGATGATAAAATACCTATATGTCAGGATGAAGTGAGGTGAGTGACACAGACACTGTGCCGTATTATTAGGCTACTACTGACCTTCTGATTTGTCAGAAAGAGGATCTTGTGCTGCTGGACTGGGACTCACCACAGATCACTGTACCCACAGACAGCACAAAACCACAGACAGCAGGAAAATACTGTACTCAAGGGATAAATCAAGAACCAATCAATGGACTGCAGAGTCCTCGAGTGAATCAGCTAGAAAATAGAACATTTTATAGACAATTGGGGAAACCGAAATAAAGAATATATAAATGTTCTCACACTTTGCTACGGACTGTATTCAAATTAATTTTGTTAAATGTGATAATGGTATTGTGGTCATACAGGAAAGCATCCCAATTTCCTGGAGATATACTCATGCATGAAGGGGTAAGGTATAACATAATATTTGTAATTAACTTTAAGAGAAAATAGTTCAGCCACAAAATATACAGGTGAAGCAAATATGACAAAATGTCAAGTTATTTAAACTGGGCGATGGTCATCGGGTATGCACGGTACAATGATTTCTCCTTTTCTGTATGACTAAAATATTCACAAGGAAAAGTATACACAGTAATGTCTACTGCTAGTGCTATTAGCCGAGAATATTTTGCTTTTTCAACTCTGGTTCCTACCCCCATGCTTAATATACATAGTTAAACACACAGGTGTGTGTGTGCGCAGATATATATACACATACAAGTGATGACTCTTGTTCTTTTATCATTGAACTGAAATTGTTTTAGTAAAGCTGCTGTTTCAGTCAGATAAAAGCAACTATTTTCTACACTTCTAAATTTCTATTTATTCTTTCGGTGTATTTTTGAACTGTTTTCAAAACCAGTATTTCAAGTATTTTGAATTGTTTTAATGAAAGACAATACAAAATGAAATCACAGAACGGTATTACTTATGCTTCCAAAGTGTTCTCTTTCTT